TCAGTCGCACTCCGAGACACCCACCCGCAACCATACTGAGGTTTTCGGATGCACTCATCTCTGCTGCCTCATATTTGACATCACAATGTGTACAATGAAAAAATGAGCGTTTCGGATACTGTTCTCTATAGTCTTGTTCATTTCCTCCATGTGTATCGCCAATTCCTCGCACCATGCTGGTACTTAATCTGGTGTTATGTACACATATGCATCAAACAAGGTTGTATCAGTGGGCCTAGTGAAAAACCATCGCGACAATCTTACCACCGAGCAGAAGGGGATATCTCTAAACCACTTTTCTCCTTGTCCACCTTTGACCTGTCACACGTCCAGACTGCCTGCACGGTTAAACGCGTGGTGGTAATTTATCGCTTTTTCCACCGAACTGTCCATCACTTGCGAATTAGTACCCAGCCATTTGTGTTTGCGAAAGATTTTTCAAGTTATATATCCACTGGCAACAATAAAGCCCTTTTTTCGTGTTCAAATTAGCGCTGTCAGTCTTATCCTGTTCCCAACTATAGGAATCGGTTTTAGCATGGCGCATACAAATGTAATTACCAGTTCGTTCCACTGGTGAACACATCTCAGCTGTCATTTATTTGGCGATCGGTGACCTGGTGTACGTGTAATTACAGGCGATGGGATAAATCATAGAGGACATGCGCAAATAGGGAGTGCATCTGTCCCCATGATAACAAATTGCGAACAAACTTTTGTGTCCCTCTTCCTCGCCTGATTGCAAATATTTATTATTTGAACCCATGCACTCACTCCTTTGCGATCCCCACCGGAGTGCGCAATGCCTAGTGCCAATTAGCGCTTTCATGTGATCTCGGTCAATCGGTGGTGATGTACATATTCAAATGTTAGGTCATTAGTTATATCCACTTTGAGGGCGGCTACGTTGTCGTCAGAGAACGACATGGACTATTCCTTTTGTTCCATTTTTTGACGTTAGTAGAATCAGCGTAAAGGTAGCCCGGGAGTGGTGGTGGTGGTATTTGTGCTGAAAAAGTCCTTGATTCCGGTTGTTGTTGTTTCATTCCAGCTTGTCGTCTTAAGAACCACATACCTCCCCGGATAGTTCACAATGATTTCAGTTCACTAAATTGGTTCTGTGTTCTGCCTCTCGAACGTGATGCACCTATCACATTCGGATGTTTTGTGATTTGATTGTAAAAAAAACCACACTATAGTTTCACTCTGTTCAATCATGAAATGTTTATGTCCCGGTTTTTGGTTATCAGCCTTTGCCTTTAAAAGAATGATGACGAACACTGTTATACAATGTACAGACATGTTGTTCGATGTCCTGGAAGGCGGGTGGCTTTATGAATACCACTGATTACATACCACCATTTAGTATCATGGTCCATCGATTGAACCGATCCCGAGATCGTCAATCACTAGAGTTGCGAGCACAGTAATATTACTATTCAATATTTTCCGGATACGAAGAAAATTGAGGGGCGTAATTACAGTGACGGTCAATTTAATATAATATTGGATTTTACACGCGTCTGAGTCTAGACTATGAGCCGAACAAATCACGGTACAATGAAGAATCTTCAAGGTCTGTCTAGTGGACGGGATACGACCAGGTCACCCCAGTCAAAGCAAGTAATTGTTCTTGGTGAATTCGCAACTGGCTGGAGCCTTCGGCTAGCCAAAGCCCGACTCTCAAGGCAGCGGCTAGGTGGTGAATTGAAAACCGCAACCCACTGGATAACCAATGTCCAGTTCATCGAATCATACGCCCTTCGGACGGGGTCAAACGCCTAACATGCCCAGTACAGCTCGATACACAATCAAGCCGGTGATTTCTACACAGTACGAGTGTAGTTCGTACGTTTCTTCCTGGTTGAGTTAATGGCTGTTGACTGATCAACTATAGATCAGTCAATACAGGAAGTTGAGACAGATGTCACTGGTGCAGTTAGATTAAACACGCTTTCATATCACCTCTCGTTGCACCATACGTTGCATTTGATTCTCTTAAGTGATCAAATTCTCTTCCGGTAAACACAAAACACATGCATTTGTTGTCACTTCTTTGATGAGTAGTGAGTTTGCATCCCGTACGGAGGAATCCGGCATGCTATCCCATTAAACTGTGTTCTTCAAGTTCATCACAGAGCTTTTTAATCAAATGCACAATTGTTTGCGCTATCACATCACTCCCGGTCGTCACAACTCCTGTGGGAAGGGAACTCTCAAACGAAAGTAATTAGCTCATCGTGAACTGGCTTCCTCTGTGTGTGTGTGTGTGTGCGCGCAATACCCACTGGGCACTGAATGCCTTTTGTGTTCGGAAATGAGGTGAGAGCTGAAGAGGTTTCACCCCGGGTCCAACTTCACGAAAACGGTTCACCTTTTTGCACCAAATATCCGCATCAGTTTTGTTCTATCCCATCAAACGTAACTCATTTCCAAATGTAACGCGGATCTGTACACATGCATACCGTGAACTGGAACGCATTTCCACCACCTGAAACGTTGTTTTTTTCTTTCACCAGTTCACTCACAGGCAGTGACTGCCCACTTGCACATTCGTTTGCACTGATACTCGCCCGTAAGCATTTCGCACGGAATTTGCACCTGGATTGCGTTTCTGAATGCCGGTATTGCGAACTTTATGTCTTTTCTGTACAGTACACAATGTGTTGGTGCGTTTCAGGAGACAGACCAGAGTTCCCTAATATAATACAACCATTCGCAAAACACCCGAAAGTGCACGCACGTATCGTGGTGTTCAGAATGATATGTCAAATTTTCAGTCCGTCTACAAACGGATCGATGTCTTGCAACTCAGTCAGCTTTGAATTCATGATTGAATTGAAGGGAAATAGTTTAATATAGTTGTAATCATGATTGGATAAACAAACGCTGTTCCGATAAAGCCTGTTTAATATCTTTTAGATAATAAAACAGGACGGGGG